GCTTTTCCTTGTTTCAAATCTTTTATTATATTAATTATTTGGCTAGGGGGGACTGCTGGCCAACTTCCAATGTTCTCAACTAAAGGGCTGGATGCCATATGGTCGATCGATATGGGTTCCGTTGAGCTTTGAAGGAGGGCACTATAATGAGATATCCACTGAGATGCAGATATACCTGCCTGGTGGTATGAGGGGGTTCCCTACACTCCTCATCGTACCAATTATTACTCTTTGGTCTGTTTTGCCCCCCTCAAAGCGGCTGGTAGCCATTTTACTGTTCCTGAGCAATCCCCCTCTTTCCTAGGCGATCCCCCCTTTCTCCTGGCCCCAGTGAGCCATGGTAGTGAGAAAGGTGGAAGGGAAGACCGGCTCGGTTGGGATTCTTTTGGCTCGGTTCGGGGTCTGGTTTGGTCTGTGGGCTACACCAAACCAAACTGCCCTTGTTAGGCTTGTGCCCATCCCTATCTATTAGTATGTTCCAAGCAAACGGGTAGAAAAAGTTATTAAAATAAAATTATTGAGCATATAGAAGTTGGCTTACTGGAGAATCAACATAGCCTCTACAAAGAAAAATCCTCTGTCACAAACTATTCAGAGTTATTTGAGAAAATGGACAATTAAACAGTGATCTCATAGACATTATATACTTGGACTTTCAAAAGGAAAGAAGATATATAAATAATTGAAACAAACAAACAAGTGTTGATCAGTGGAGTTGTAAGATAGGTGTAGGATCCACTCCAGGTTAGTGAGCAACAACATGGCAAATGAGATTCAACATACATCAAGTGTAAAGTGATGCCTAATAGGGTAAAATATTCTAAACTCACATGCATTCTAGTGGGGTCTCAACTAGCAGCATTTAATCAGGAAAGAAATCTTGAGATTATGGTGGATAGGTCAATGAAAATGTTAACTCAGTGTACCGCAGTTGTGAAAATGACAAATTCTGTACAATGGCCATTTTATTTTTCATATATTTTTAATAATCTCTCACATAGATCTGTGAGGGAGGGCTACAAAGTCTGGGTCTTTTCAGTTTTAAAAAATGAGATCGAAGAGACAATGCTTTTTTTTATACTGGGGGAATTTTCCCCCCCCCCCCATATATTTTTGTTAAGATTTCAGTTTTATTTCGGGAGTCCCCCAAGTTTGCAGAAAAATCTGTGGCCCCAAGCTGCGAATTTCGATATCCACAGACGGGGCCCAGACTTCTTTATTAGAATTTTAAAAAAAATCTTGGATAATGTCCATCAATGGCTGTTTGTGATGATGCCTGAATTGGACCTCCATGTTTGGAGGCAGTATAACCCTGAATACTAGTTGCTGGGAGGCAGCAGCAATGAAACTTTTAGGCCACTCTGTCCCTGCCAGAGGTTGATTCGGGGGGGATCGCTGTTCCCCTGGGTGAGGTGCGGGGGACGGGGCACACGATGAAGCCCCGCCCCCTGCTTCTGGCTGCCCCGCTTCCGGCCCTCATTCAGCCAGGAGGAGGCAGGAGAAGAGGGAGGGTAAGTTGCTTCCTCCCTGCCTCTCCCCACCCCTGCCTGCCTGGGGCCAGGGAGGGCCTTGGCGGGGCTTCCTCGCACTCCCGCCGGCCTTGCAGGTCCACCGCCGGGCCCCTGATGGGGTGTGGCAGTGGAGCCGCAAGGCCGCCGCTGGCGGCCGGGACCGTTGGGGCGGGGGGGCTTGGCAGGACTTCTCCGCGCTCCTGACGGCCTTGCAGCTCCACCGTCGAGCTCGACGGGAGCTCGGCGAGAGCTGAAACCAGGGCGGCCGCCAGAATTGTTGGGGGGAGGGAGTGAAAACCAAGTATAAATGCCTGGATTTTCTGTGTATTTTCCGTAGCAATGTGGTCATCTGCCCCCATGCTTGGTTTATAGCTGTTTTGGTTTATAGTTGGTCTTGGTTTATAGCTGTTTTTTCTCTCTGGAATTGCCTACCAATGTTCCCTCTAAGATGTGGAGTCTTGTGAGTAAAATTTCTACTTTGTGAGCCATCAGCATTAAAGCTGTGAGCGAGTGATTTGGCTACTGCATCAGTTAGTGCCTCTGGAGCCCTCCTTCCTGAGTGAAGAGAAAAATATGTGAGCCAGAAGCTTAAAAGCAGTGAGCTAGCTCACACTAACTCAGCTTAGAGGGAATACTCCTGGTAACTGGAATGTGAATAGCTACATATTTTGTACTTCATCTATTACCAAACAGCTTTCCTTTTTGGCAATCTGTTACTAGGTCTTCACTGATGTGCTTGTTGTTGCTTTTCTCTCAACAAACCAGTTACTGAAAATAGATAAAATTGTGTTGAACTTCTATCCTTTTTACCTGACATGGGTGGTTTGCTTGTTTTCCCCCACATGTGCCATCAGATAGGCTCGCCAGCTCTGAGTTGGCAATACCTTGGAGATTTTGGGGGTGGAGCCTGAGTGGTGGGTTTAGATTCAGAGGAATTAGCTGTGTTGGTCTGTTGGTGCAAAATAGTCCAAGAGTTCAAATAGCACCTTTAAGACTAACCTTTAAGACTGAGTCGTGGGTGTGGCCTTATGACACACTTCCGGTGATGTCAGGGGGTGTGGCATATGCTAATGAGCTATGCTAATGAGTTCCCCTAGCTCTTTTTCTACAAAACGACCCCTGGTCCCTGCTATGGGCCTTATAGGGCATCTGGCTGGCTACAGCAGGAAACAGAATGCTGGACTATATGAGCCATTCACTCGTCTGATTAAGGATGGCTCTTCATATGTTCATAGATGAAATGATCTGAAGCTATTCTAATATAAACTGACCAACTAGTAAGATGAATAAAAGATAGGATCATAAAGATGTAAAGGGGTTAATGAACAAATATTTCACAAGTCATGGCTGTTGAGTCATATCCATATGCATATACTCAATCAAGAGAGTGGAATAATCATGTCATATATAATATACATTTAAAGTTACAACTTCTTACTTCAGTAGCAACAGTGGGTCCAAAGCAGTGTTCCCTCTAAGCTGAGTTAGTGTAAGCTAGCTCACAGTTTTTTAGCCTCCGGCTCACAGATTTTTCTCTTAGCTCAGGAAGGATGGCTCCCGAGCAGACTAATTTATGCAGGAGCCATATTGCTCACTCACAGCTTTAATGCCAGTAGCTCACAAAGTAGAATTTCTGCTCACAAGACTCCACAGCTTAGAGGGAACATTGGAAGTACAGTTAATTTGCACCAAAGAGCTAGTGAGTACTTCCGTGTTCTGCAGCCATCTACAGGCAGTTTGAACATAGTAAACTAAGGAGCTGTTCTTAACTTACCTTTACTCATGTACTCCGTGACTATGTAGATGGGTTCTTCAGACACCACAGCATAAAGCTGGACAAGTTTGTCATGCTTCAGCTTTTTCATAATCTGAGCCTCCTCAAGGAATGATTCCGGAGACATTGTACCGGGTTTCAATGTCTTTATTGCCACCTTAGTATTTCCATTCCAAGTACCTACAACAGAAACCACAGATACAGTCAGATGAAACATCCCATGAACAATGCTTGCATGATGTAAATATAAAAGTACCCGAGTAATAAAGAGCAGTAAATGAGACATTAATTAGTGAGTACTACTGATACTGTACAATTTTAGTCAGTCTCTTTAAACAAGATTCATTCACTGTGGTGGCTACAGTGTTGAGCACAGATGTAGCATGTATTACTTCAAATGATATTTATATGCCATCATTACTAAGAGCATCCAGTTTCTGAGGAAATTATCAGCTGAATAATTTAGCTAAGTTATGTTGATTGATGGTTCAGTGCTAAAATTAGTTGATTTTACTTGAGACAATTCATCAGAAGAGACTGTGGCTTGGATCCTGTGAACTATTTTCCTCTTGCACTAGCACTTCTATTTGTGCAAGGGTTTGTTGAAAACCACAGATCTTTCAGAAACTTAAGTGCTAGTGCAAGAGGAAGTGAACTCTGTAGCAGAGGCTGTCTAAAACGCATGGAACTTGTTCATAGGATCCCTGCCGGCCAACTAATTGTTGGTGCATTGGGGGCCCTCATTGGAGGGATGGCAACCCTATATATTGTTAAAGCAGCAGCACTTGAATTCATTCAGAAAAAAAGGTTGCTTAGATATTTTATCTAAGAGTGCCTGATCACCCAAGTACTACACACAGTAGGTATTGTTTTGCCCTCACTGCAATAATACCTCCTAGCGCAGTGATTTACTTTTCCTCACAGAGGGTTACTAAAGCCATTCACATACACGTGATAAAAAGATGAAACTGGAGATAACTGTTTAAATGTTTTAGTATTAATTATATATTTTTCACATTTAGTTTATATACTACCTTTATTCAATTGAACTTGTAGTGGTATAAATATCTTTCCCAGGCACTCTACTATTCAGGCACTTATTATAACTCTCCCAAAAGAAATTTGTCTGTCCCCTTCTACTAACATCTTCTGCCAGCGGGTGAAGATTTTTTTGTGTTGTTTGACATTCTCTCAGTTATCCCTCCTTTCCCCCCATTTTTAAAATTGGTGTTTTTATGTTTTTGTACATGTATTTTAGCTTTGGTTTTGTTTTAATGATGTGATTTTGTTCGTTTAAACTTTTTTAAATCTGTAAGCTGCCTTAGTGACCCTGATGAAGGTAGAAAGATGAGAGATAAATAAAATTAAGTAATATAAAAATACCGTGGGTTCTGGGTAAACCTGGTATCTGGGGCAAGTTTTGTACACCCCCGTGGTCCAAATTATGTGCCATTTACTTAGTTCCATAAAACATAATGGGAACCAAAGACACCAGCCTTTATCTGCCCAGTCCCACCCATTCTCAGACTAACTCATGTGATGAAACTTAGGAACTCACCTATGTCATTGCTCTCACTTTATTTTTTAATATATATATTGCACAGCTAACTGCGCTGATAGAATAATAGGTTGGATCCAAAATGTGCAAATGGAAGGAACTTCATCTGGGAAGGGATACTATGATTTCTGTGGATTTTCCACTCAAACTGCACTCCTACTTGCTGTAAGCCTGGACCTGTGCAAACAGCTTTTTGAGTGATGTTGGGAGCTTCCAAAGACAGGGGGGAAGACGTGGAAAAGCTCAGTTCCCTATATCCAATCCCACACTTTGCAAAACCAGTGAAGAAGTGTTTGCAGTGCAGCACTGATGCAACACTTTTCATGGCTTAAACCCAAGCAATTCTGGACTTGTCTTGCACTGCAAATCAAGAGACTCGGCCATTATTGACTTAAATTTTTTAGACTTAAATTTTTGAAACTGACTTTTCATGACCTTTGCAATTATTCATCCCAAAGAAAACAGTTTTCACTGCCTTACCACACCACACTTCAGCGAAACAGCCCTGACCCAGCTTCGTTTCCAGAAACAATGAATCCCGTGCAACTTCCCATGCATCCTTAGCCAATCCGACAGTTTGTGGAGTGTAATTCGATGCAATCACAGTTAAGTTAAAACATAAACCATCAGCTTTCTCTACAGGAAAGGAAATTAATAAATGAAATACTTATGATCTAGGTAGCTATGCATGCACTAAGAAAGATGGAAGATGATATATCATTCAGTGCCCACACTAAGTTAATTAGCATGCCTTTATTAAACCTCTGTATATCTGATTAGAATGTATGAAGCTTGATTTGGTAAGATGAAAGTAGCTTGTCAAACCTGACATCTACAGTCAGGGACATACAGTATCAGCTTCCTTCAAAAAATAATAAATTACTCAGTACTTTGAATGAAAGCTTTTTTAAAGCCAAGAACATGTTATACTAAATCACTGAAGACATTTGCTTTCTTGATATTTTTTTATTATGATTCATTTTGCTTCCACATTCCATCTTCCATCTTGTCTCCATATCTGAGAGCCTATTTAAAAATAGTAATATTAGCTCTGCATACCCATCCATACTTCCCCAAACTGCCCATTTCCCAGTCTCTTGATCAACTGTAGTGATTCTCGTGGAATTTCCCAGACATCTTTGGTTTTGACAGACAGATCAGTAAGCCTTGGCATTCCTTTATGACAAGGGACTACTAAGCGGCAGCAAAGACCTGCAGCTCTCTCTGATGAAGCAGAAGTGAAGCCAAGGGGAAAGAAAAGAGTAACAAACATGAAAAACACAGCAAGCAAGAAAACAGTGCTAGTAAACAAGTTTCATTACCTGTTAGTAGCATTTGAAACAAAAGCTTGAGGATAAATATACAGCACACTTAAAACATTTGATTGAAAATATACAGAGGTATTTTAAACACTACTGGGAACAGTGATTGTCTGAGGATGTCATATAAGTGCAGAGAAGGCAGAAGGGTCTGTCAACCACAGTTGCTCACCAGCTCTTATAAAAATTGTATGTGGCAGAAGGGCCTATGGAAGGAAGGCTAGAAGCAGCAGCAGCAGTTCAGGAAAGGAAGATAGAGGGGCCCTAAGGAGGCAACAACCCAAGCAGGAACCTAGATAAAAAGTGGTGGAGGAGGGAGTCATGCAGAGATATAAAGGGAACTGGGGAATGCCAGAAGGAGGAGTCAGAGGAGCAATGTGCATAGCCAGGAGTGAAGAGGAGAGGAAGATATAAGTTCAAATACAGCAGTGGCCAGTGAAGTGGTGTAGAAAGCAACAAACAATTGCTGCGGAACACTAACTGAGAGGGAAAAGACTTTTGTAAGTTTACTGATCTAGAATGGGGTGAATTTTACCCAGTCCTGCCACTCTACTGAGCAAAGTCTGAAACCTCCCTCCAGCCTAAGGAGCCTTCCTGCAACTTTTGGTTCTTCCACTGGAGGAAGGCTTCTTGGAGAATGGATGGATCCACTCCATGAACTACATTCTCCATAAATAGCTTACAGTAAAACCAAAGAATGTAAAAGTACATTTTAAAATCAGTAAAATCAATAATATCAATAACATGTTAGAACAATATAGCAGCATGAAGAACAGTAAATGATTTAACAAGGTTCCTCAAAACAATTTCATGAAGATTGATGACGCAGCTAAGTCAGGAATTGGCTCATGCAAACACTATTCAGATGCCCTGCTGATAAATGGCTGGCAGTGCTCTGTCTGGAAGTTGGATAATGTTGTCACTGGCCCATGGCCACGCATGTCACTGCTGGCTATTTATCAGCAGTGTATCTGCACCATGCTGTGAAAACTGCACCTGCTTTGGCTGCTTCTAACAGATGGTAGCTGATAAGGATGCAGGGCTCTCTCCTTCTCAATTGTTGCTCAGCAGCATCCATTTCCATCCCACTTCATTGGCTACTGCTATTCACATTTTGATTTGAAATAGCTAGTCAAGTCCGTGGCTGCAGACCTACAGTCTTTCATCATACATAAACAAATGCCTCTTTAGCAACAGTTTTCCCCACTAGCTGTAAAATCTCCCATGGATTAATATTCTGTCACTGCACCAATAGAACAACCAAGACAAGAAGTAAAAAATTATTAGTACATAAGAAGCAGAAAGTGGATTAAGTAGAGTTCAGAAGCAAGTAAGAGTGCTTAGTCTTGCAATAAAATAGAGAGTTATATGCAGTATTAATTATAAAATAGGCAAGGCATAAATTACAAGTAGTCTTCAGAATTTACAAAGTTACACAGAAAATAAACAATGCAGGATAATGTTTACCATGATTTTTAAAAAACATTCAACATTCTTGGTTGTAGACATGTTACCCCAGAATAAATGTTTAAAAATGTATTAACATTTCTTGAAACAAATAACAGAAGATCCTTTTAGAACCCCCCCTCTGTGTTCAAACATACACACACACACAAACACTCTAAAATATATGTTTTTTAAAAGTATCAAATAAATTATACAGATGATTTTTTGATGATTTCATAGCTAGGAATGCTATAAAGCAAATCACATACGATCTCTCTAAAGTGAAAATACATGGAAAAAATGGTATATTTCCACTAGGGTTGCCAAATTACTTTTCACCAGGAGCAGGGGGCTCCCGGCTGGTGTCCTCTTTGTGCGCGCGCGCATAGCGCGCGCCGTGTGTGCGTCATCCAGAAGTGACGTCACATGCTGGGGGCAGGGCCACACCATTTGAGGAGACAACAGAGAGTTTTCACCTCAAATGGCGTGGCCCCGCCCCCAGCGTGTGACGTCACTTCTGGATGACGCACACGCGGGGGTGGGGTTTCCCCCGGGCCCCGATTCCGTGGGAGCTGGAATCAGAGCTCGAAAGCGGGGGGAATTCCGCCCCCAGGGGCATTTGGCAGCCCTAATTTCCACCAATTTTACCAACTAATCCCCTTTATAAATTGATATATTAAAAAAGCAGCCTTAATGTAGTACTGAACAAGTAACAGAAATTTGTTACGCCTATGGGAGGAAATCACTCCAAGTAATGGAATATTGTCAATATTCCATATCAATAACAATCCACAACACCTTTATGCATTCCTGTCATGATCTGGGCTGTGCCACCAGAGGCCTACTAGGCCCAGGGAGCCTGGCTAGCAGTAGGTGAGGCTGGGCCTACAACTCCCAGAAGCCCCTGAGAGGTTTTGGATCAAAATTGACCAATAGGAAAAGAGGAGGGCTTAGAATAAAAGATCTGGAACAGCAGGAAAAGCTGTTCTTCTTCCCAGGGGACAGAGCCAGAAGGGACTGAGGCTGCTGTAGGGAAGAGACCATCATCCTGAGGGAAGGGTGAGTAGTCTAGTGCCACATGGAATAGTGACCCAGGAACAGTATATATTTAGACGCGTTAGGGCATTTGATTTCTTTTCTTTTCACCCACTTACTGTTATATTTCTGCACCTTGTTTGTTTGACCGCTTATAAAATAAACTATTTTTATTGTTCACTCTGCCTGGTCCTCACGCCTATTATTCAGCCAAAAGGGAGGTCTAAAGACCTGGGAAGGTGCTCTGGGCCTTCTCAGAGGAGCCTGGAACCAGAGTGGTGGCAGCGTCAGGTGACCCCCCACCTGAGCCATGACAATTCCTAAGCATTGAACAAGGACGGTATTTAAAGGACATATTTTATCCTAATACTACCTTAGTAGTTCATAATGCCGCATTTCCATTCACATAAAACCACAGATTTGGCAAAAAATGGATTTTAATAAAACATGTAGGCTTTAGAAGCTCTGGAAGTCCAGTACAGCATCTTTATTGCAATTCAAGGGAAAACTCTTCATATGTTACTAGTTTTCCTCTATCAGATGTTAGAAGCAGCAAGCAATAAGTAGGAATGACAGCTTTCAGTATAATACATTTGTGTTTTGTAGGGGATAATGTGAATAGTTTGTAGAACACCTTTGCTATATAATGAACACAATTACTGTATACTACTCTGAAGCCTATCTTTGGGTGAAATGTAAGGGGCAAACATTGCATTTCCCATTCCTTGATCATAGTAGCCACATCAGAGCTGACAAGTGCAGCTTCTCATCGAACAAGCAATTACTTTTAAGTTGGTAGGAAAGAGCTCAAATAGAATCAAGATATACGAAAGATGTCTATGGGCTTTTACCCTAAAATAACAGAATTAGATAAGATTTTGTTGTGTAACGATAAGAAATTGATTAAAAAATATATGTGACAATGTTAGAAGAAGAAACACAAGACGAAATAGTTAAAACCTGTATGATTAAATGGGCACAAAATTTGGGTCATAATATTGAACTAGACCAATGGTCTCTAGAATATGGAAAACGAATACAAAGATAACTAAAGCAATTTTATATAAAGAAATTTTTTTTTTGTCTTTTAATTTTTTTATTTTCTAATCTACAAAACTACAGGATCAGGGTAATGGAAGAGCCTAAAAGAAAATATTTATAAAATGTTTTATGGATGGTATATGACCCCTGATAAATTAGCAAAAATGTATCCTGAATTATCAAATGAATGTTGTAAATGTAAAAAAAAAAGTTGGTTCCTTTTTCCATATGTGGTGGACGTGTGATAGAACTACAACATACTGGTCTTGGATCCATGATTTATTACAAAAAACGTTTAAAAACACTGTACCATATGACCCTGAAGTGTTTTTACTGAATATTGTATAGAGGGCAAGATTTATATCTTATTATACATGTTGTGACTACCACAAGAATACTGTTAGAGGCTTTCTATTCTGTTTCTTTTGTCTTTTTTCCATTTTTCTGTAGTATCTATGAAACCAATAAAATCTGTGTTTTTTTAAAAAAAATAATACTGTATGCTAAACATTGGAGAAGAAACTAAGTCCCTTCAAAATAAGAATTTATAAACAAAATTTATGAAACAGCAGAGATGGATAATCTAAGTTCAATTTTGAGAGGACAAGATGGAATGGGTTTTGAAAAAACATGGTCCAATTTTTATAAATGGACTGAAGAAAATCATGTCTGATTTCCACAGGCATACAACCAAAATGGAACAATAAACTACATGCTTTATTGTATGCAAAGATCTCTATATATAAACTCTAAGGTGTGAAAAAGGTGTGAAAAAGTAAAAAATAATAATTGGTTAATGTATGAGGTTAAGAGGTTAAGAACTAGATATAAGAAGAATGTATACTACTATATGTTTGTCTTTTATAAAATAAAAATTTATATGGGAAAAAAGAGCAGCTTCTCATCCACTTCTCCTTTCCATAATCTTTGAACTACCCTTGCTATGAGGTGACCCCTTCCCTGTTCATGAAAGTGGTAGTAGCACTGGAGATGCTTTTGGAGGAGAGGAGGTAAAAAAGGGCAAGCTCAGAGAGCTGCCACAACTACCAGAATGGTAGATAGAAAGCTTTGCTCCTATTATCTCAATCTTCATATGACCAGTGGTAATGGAGGTTTTAAGGATAGGTCTCTGGAAATGCCTTTTACAGGTAAGATTTAGTGGTGACACTGAAGGTTTTCAGTCCTAGCCGCACTGAACATGAGCTAGAATGTGAGCATGCATGCACATACATAGAAACATGCTTGAAGTTCATTTTTAAAATGAGATGGAAATGCCCTCCTCCTTTCTCATATAAGTATGTAAAGGTAAAGGTAAAGGTTCCCTTGCTCGAAAGCCAGTCGAGTCCGACTCTAGGGTTGCGGTGCTCATCTCCGTTTCAAAGCCGAAGAGCCAGCGCTGTCTGAAGACATTTCCGTGGTCATGTGGCCGGCATGACTAAACACCAAGGCGCACGGAACGCTGTTAACTTCCCACCGAAGTGGTACCTATTTATCTACTTGCAATTTCTTGCTTTCGAACGGCTAGGTTGGCAGGAGCTGGAACTAGAGACGGGAGCTCACTCCGTCATGCGGCACACTCGGGGCTCGAACTGCTGAACTACCGACCTTCCACAGCCTGCAGTTCAGCGTCTTAACCACTTGAGCCACCGCAGCTCCATATATAAGTATGTAGGGGTGTGCAAAAAAAAAAAAAAAGATTCCTGATTTGGATCTATTGGACCAGAAAAATATCAGCATTCCTGAATATTCCTGAATATCAGTATTGGTATTGTATTGGTATTCAGGTGAATATTTGAGAAACTTGAATTTAATGGGCTCAGGTCACAAATAGTGCCAGATCAGCCTTTTACCATCTGCAGCTGGACAGGCAGCTGGTTCCCTATCTCTCCTCTTGAGACTTGGTTACGGTGATACACACAATGGTCACCTTCAGACTGGATTGTTGCAATTTGCTCTGTACAGGGCTGCCCTTGAACCTGATCTGGAAACTTCAGTTGGTGCAAAATTCAGCAGCTCACCTCCTGTGCAGGGGCCCATACAGCCACTGCTTTGCCAATTGCATTGGTTACCAATTGTATACTGGATTCAAGGTTATGGTACTAGCCTTTAAGGCCCTATGAGGTCAGGGTCCAACATATCTGCAGGACTGTCTCTCCCAATATGTTCCCTGAAGAACTTTACACTAGGCTGAACATCTACTGGCAATCCCCGGCTCAAAAGATATCTGCCTAACCTCGGCCAGAGCTTTTCAGCTCTGGCCCCAGCCTGGTGGAACATGCTCACAGTTGAGCTTAGAGCCCTACGAGACTTATTACAATTCCACAGGGCCTGTAAAATGGAACTGTTCCACCAGGTGTTTGATTGAGGAGGCGGGTGCCTCAATACATCTGGTCTCCCCTGCTCTAACCAGCCCCCCCTATCCAGCCAAGCGAATTATGATACCAACTTGTATTATTGGTTGGCGGCCGGGCCCAATTATTATCCTGATGGCTTGTTTGGAGTCACACATAGTTATATCCCTTGGGTTCATACGTTACCATCTCTCTATTGTGCAGTTTAACTGGGGTTTTAAGATTTTAATTAAATTATTTGAAATTGTTTTTACATGTTTTGATATTGCATTGTAGCGGCCCCCCCAAAACCTGCTTGTGGCGGAGGGTGAGATGAAAATCGCAAGCATAAATACATAAACATTTATTCACCTCCATTATATGGAGAATTTCACTCACCAACTTGTGTCTCCACAGCGATGCAACTCAGTGAGCAAATTGAAGGCATTTAAAATTTAAATGCCTTCAATATGTGTTCAGCTTACTCGCCAAGTTGTGCCACTGCTGAGCAACTTGGTGAGTGAACTGAAAGCATTTAAAGTTTAAATGCTTTCAGTTCACTTGCCAAGCCACCATGGCAGCATGACTCAGCACCACGGTCTCTTTAAATGCGTCTAGCCACGCCTGAATAAAAGCTGAATAATCTTTGCTTTTATTTGGAAGTGTCTATTTCAGTAGCCAAATCAGATTGTCTAATCTGTATTTGGCTGACTAAATACCTGAAAAATACCAATAGGGTATTTGTTGGGTATTTATTTGGCTCGATATATACCAAGCGCATATCCCTATATGTACGTGGTGACCCTGCTAAGCATCAAGACAAACAATAAACATTTCTTTAATTATATTTGGAGCAGGATACCTCCCAAAGAGGCAGTTGGGCCTTTAGAGGATAAAATAAAATGATAGCTAAAGGAAGATGCGGAGAAGGCAGAAAAGCTAAACAAATTCTTCACATTTGTGTTCACTGTGGAAAGTGTGGGGCATGTACTATGGTTGCCAACTCTGTGTTAGGAAACTAATGAAGATTTGGAGGTGGAGCCTCAGTGAGGTATAATACCATAGAGTCCACCCTTTAAAACAGCCGTTTTCTCCAGGAGAACTGATCTGTGAAGTCTGGAGAAGAGCTGTAATTTCAGATGTCCAGCACTCACCTGGAGGTTTGCAATCCTATCTGACAGCAAATTCAACAGGCATTACAATTCTACAAACATTTGAAAAAAGGCTCTATATCTTTCATCAATTTTAACAGCATTTGCTATTCCCTCAAATAATCAAAAATAGCAATTTTGACAGAAAAGCGAGGGACTCAACAAGCTATTTAAAATCTGAAAGCCAAAATCAAGATGATGCTGTGGCTGTTTATAATGTGCTGTTCCCAAAATCCATAAGAAGCTCACAGGGCCCTTATTTGGATGGAGTATACAACAGGAGGAAAAATGGCTCATAAACCCTCATACAGTTCTGCAAACAAAACTGTTCTTCCTCTCTGGTAACATTTGTGACTGTGGAAAGAAAAAAGGGTTTGCAGAATGTATTTCTTTTTCTTATTAGGTTGTATAAATCTTAACACTTAAAAAGTCTTTTTATGCTTTGATCATTACTGTTTCTATAGCTTTCTGTACTGTTTTTAATGGATTAGTCCCAGCATTTCTGTACTGCTAATGGTGGAGTTTTTCTCTGATGCAAGGCTGTGTGAGGCTCCCTGTGCCACTGGAATACTCTGCTTGCATCACAGGAAAGCTCTGCCAGTAGCTGTACAAGAATGCCGGAACCAACCTAGTATTTTTACTACTATTTATCTTTTTTTTTGCTTTATGTATATTTAAAAATCCTTCCTTTATATATTATTCATTCTAATGGACCAACATGTCGGACACTGTGTATATTTTACTGTTTACAGGTTGCCCTAGGCATCCTTTGGAATAGAAAGGCATAGAATAGAAGGGCCAATAAACTCAGAGAACAATACTAAGCTCCTTAACATTTTCTCCTGAAAGGGTTCCATAGATAATATTTTGTATCTTAAAAGAAGTGAGAATATAACAAACACATATTTGCAAAGTTACCTGAATAGTGCTGAACAAGTTGCTGAAGTGTTTCAAATTGTGCCCTTGTTGTAATGTAATATCCACCATTGTCAAGTTTACGAATTTTATAATGTTTCACATGATCTCCTTTCATATCATCCCAGTCGCGAATAGATAACGAATAGGCACCTATTAAACAAGGAAAATAAAAGCTAAACATGACTAGAAACACTTATTATAATTAACAGTAATTAAAACAATAACATTTTATCAGGGGTTGTTTCGTAGAAAAAGAGCTAGGGGAACTCATTAGCATAACTCATTAGCATATGCCACACCCCCTGACATCACCGGAAGTGTGTCATAAGGCCACACCCCGTGACATCACCGGAAGTGTGTAATAAGGTCACACACCCCGCCCCTAATGGTCCCGGCTGCCGCTGCCGGCCTTGCAGCTCCACTGCCGAGCCCCATGAGGTGCCCGGCGGTGGACCTGCAAGGCCGGCGGGAGTGCAAGGAAGCCCCGCGAAGGCCCTCCCTGGCCCCAGGCAGGCAGGGGTGGGGAGAGGCAGGGAGGAAGCAACTTACCCTCCCTCTTCTCCTGCCTCCTCCTGGCTGAATGAGGGCCGGAAGCAGGGGGCGGGGCTTCGTCATGTGCCCCGCCCCTGTACCTCACCCGGGGGAACTGCGATCCCCCGCGATCCCCCCCGAAATGACCTCTGCATTTTATAGTCCAAACAAAAACAGGGTTGTAATTATGAAAAGCTTAATTTAAGACACGGATATGAAAATCACTTCTCCTTTATATTATGCCCCTTCAGGGCTATAGCAAGAAATATGAAAACTGAGCATGAACCCAGGACTTTAGGAATGCTGTTTTCAAAAAGCTCTGAGAAAAACCAGATATAGCTTTAAATCCAAAAGAGAAACTAGCGCAAAAAGAATAAGCGATTCTGAAAGCACAAGCACAAACTATTCCAATCAGAAGCAAAAAATAGGAGACATCTAAAGAACCTGATGTGGCTGCACAAGAAACTCTGATGAACTGAGACCTAAATGTACAGGGAATGACAGGAGGGATATACAACCAAGGACAAATACAGAAGAAGAGTCCAAACCTGCAAAAATGGTATCAGGAAGGCTAAAGCCCAGAAAGCACTCAGGCCTGCAAGGGAAGCTACAAACAACAAGAGCTTCTTGTTAAATTCAAAGCAAGAACAAGGAAGGGGTAGGCCTGATGCTTTGGAGAAGGGGTAAAATCGTTACTGGTAATAGACACAAGGCAAACCAATTAACTCTTTTGAACTGGTTTCTCCTACAAGGGGAATTATGTCCAACCTGAGAAAAGCAGAACACAAAATGAGAGAAGTGACTTGCAGCAAAGCACAGGTAAGGAGATAGAAAACATCTAGAGTCACTACATGAGTTCAAGTCTCCAGGGCTAGCTGAATTGCATTTCAGGGTACTGAAGCAGCCTGCAGATGTTATTTTGGAAACTCTAGTTCTAATTTTTGAGAATTCTTGGGAAAATGAGTGAGGTCATGGAAGACTGGAGACAAGCAAATGTTGCTCCAGTCTTAGAAAAATGAAAACTACAGACTGGTCAGCTTGATTCTGATGCCTGGTAAGAACCTAGACCAGATTATTATTTAGTGGTCTGTGAGCAACTAGAGAAGAAAGCGTTGATTACTAGCAGTCAGCATGAGTTTATCAAGTTAGGTTAGACAATCTTATCTCCTTGTCACATAAAGTAACTTGGTAGACTATGGGAATGCAGTCAGCACAGTACATCTTGATTTCAGCAAAGCATTTGACAAAGTTTCCCATGGTATGCTTCTGAACAAGAAGGTAAACATGGGCTGGATGATTCTACTTTCAGGTGAATTCATATTTGGTTGAGCAACTGTACCAGAGTGATCAGTAACCACTGTATTAAGCTGGTGCAAGGCCTCAAGTGGAGTATTGCAGGGGGTAGGCCCTGTGCTGCTCAATGTTTTTATAAATTACTTTGATGAGAGCATAGAAGGGATGCTTATCAAATCATCAGATAACACAAAGCTGGAAGGGATAGCTAGCACCAAAGGAGACAGAACTGAGATTCAAAGGCCCCGGTCACACGGAAGATTTTGGCCCGGGAGAGGGACGGATCGGGGGTGCAGCAAATGGGCGCGATCTCACCGCAACATCTGGGAAGCGGCACGCACCCGTCGTCTATCTGTTCCTAAACCCAGAAAAGCCGCTGCAAAAAAGAACCTCCTACAGAGGAGGACTTACCTGAAGCACCGCAGCAAGCGTGGCCGTGGGATTGCCGCCACGCCCGTCGTCCGGAGCAATCCAGGCTCCCGGCCGAACTGCGCACGCGCACACATGCGCAGTTCGGCAGCCTCGCTCTCCTTTCAGTAGCTTCCCCCCCGGCATCTGATCGTGCCGGGGAGGAACTGCGTGGCGGCTCAGGGGATCTATGTGATCCCGCCGCCGCATGTTTCTTTTGGTGCGGCTTTAAAAAGCCGCACTTTGGCCGTACTTCCCCACCCCCCATGTGGCAGGGGCCAAAATAATCTTGACAGGCTGGAAATAATAGGTCAAGACAAACACAGTGCATTTCAACAGGGAGAAATATAAACTGTAGACAAAGAAAATGTAAACGAAGGAACAAAAGCACAAGTATGGGATAGGGGATACTTGGCTTGCAGCAGTATATGTGAGAAGAGTACAGGTGTCTTAGTTCAGCACAAGCTAAACATGAGCAAGCAGTGCGATTTCTTTAGGAGAACAAACTAGAGTGTGTCTGGAGTGAAACAACGAGACTCATGAGAGGTCTGGAAACCAAGCCTTATGAGGAAAGGCCTGGGCATGTTTAGCCTGTAGAAGAGATAAATAAGGAGACATGACCACTGTCTTCAAATATCAAAAGGGCTGTCACATAGAAGATGGGAGCAGACTTGTTTTCTCTTGTTCCAGAGAGCAGGATGAGAATGTGTACAAATTACAAGGAAGCATATTTGGGCTAAATATCGAGAGAAACTTCCTAACGGTAAGAGTTATTCAGCAGTGGAGCAGACTGACTTGGGCAGTGGTGGATTCCCCCTCACTAAATATCTTTAAACAGAGGCTGGGTGTCCATCTGTTTCAGATATTATAGTTGCATATTCCTGATCTGAGCAAGGTGTGGGATTAGATTACCCCCAAGAAACTTCCAACTCTATGATTATAAAAGAGGGCTTTACTTGGCTGGAAACTATTCGGTGCAACTTAGATAAACACATGGAGCAGAGGTCCATGAGTGGCTAGCCACAAGGTAAAGGTAAGAACTCTTGGCCTGGGGCAAGTGAAGTTCTGTATTCTTGGTGCTTGAAGGGGGCAACAGTGGGAGGGCTTCTAATGTCCTGGCCCCACTGCTGGACCTCTTGATGGCACTTGATATTTTTGGCCACTGTGTGACACAAGAGTGTTGGACTAGATGGGCCATTGGCCTGATCCAACATCGGCTTCTCTTATGTTCTTATGTTCAGTAGTTGAAGGTCAAAGATAGCACTGCAGAGGCAAATGCTGGATAAAACTAGCTGTAAGTAACAATTTTAGCATGTGCAAAGTTTTTAAAATCAAAAATACTCCTCAATTGCTAGACAGTTCATGGGCCATTTAAATTTCATTACCAGTAATTGCTTCCTCACTACTCATGCAAAATTGTCTTGATAAGAAATCAGAATGCAAGAGTCACACATTTGATTTGACCCCTTCTTCATTTTCAACCTTCCCCTTTCTGAGCACAACAGAATTCTATGCACTCACAGCAAAATTCTGACTAGTCCTGAACTCTGCATTTCCCCCCCCCACTCAGATTGTTAAGGTAGGAATCATACAATCATACCCTCTGCAGAAGTTTTTTTTTTTTTTTGGTATATGGTGATTATTCATCAACAAATTACGCTAGATTCGTTTTTGGTACTTGCAAATTGCATGGAAAAAATAGGTAATCAATGTCTGATTAGGAAGCATTTGATGCTGACTGATCACTCAAAAGCTTATATATGTGTCTGTCTATAAAGCAACTAGAAAACTGGTCATGTTACCTTTGGTGGTTTCACTCTCTCGAATCAGGAAGGTCCCTCGTGGATTGCCAAATGACAGCAGCTGTCTCTCAGCATCCTTTCTTCCAAGCTTGCCAAAGTACCACCTAAACAAAAACAGAATTGGCAAAAATAACATTTTAAGTTGATAGCTTCTAAGAAATCAGAATGAAAGAAGGAATGAGTAGTATTGCTTAATATGTACAGCTTTATAAACAGATTTTTAAAAAGATAATTAATGGGAGTTTATGAAAGCTTTGTGTTCTGAAAATACAATGAAAAATGTATTGTGGAAAGTAAGTGGTACAGACCTTTTTTACTCTTAAAAGAAAGTGTTAAAAAACTATAAAAACAGTAGTAAATACAAATTCCATGCTGCTGTTCTGCTGGTGACAGTTGTCAAAATCTAACTCATGAGTTATATTGAAAAGCCTTAATACAGAAGCATGCAGCTGTTTATCTAACAGACTAATTTCCAGACAGATTACATAACCAGGACCATTGTAAACTAACCATGTTACTTAACCATTTTTATTTATCTATTAACTTCATTTATAGTACACCCTTCTTACTGAAACTCAAACTGAATTACAAAATATAGAAAACTATTCAATCTGCAGCATAAGACAACAGATATGCAACAGGACTAGGGTTATGGAATGAGAAAACAATGCAATACTGTAATCACCACATCTAAAGACGAGTTATTTCTAAGCTTGCCATTATTATGCATTTATTTCTGGTCATTTAGCTTGTGCAAAACGTGGGCAGCCTCAGTTCTATATGGACATACCAGCTCTAATGTAAGGGAAATTTAGACCAGAAAATGTTGCACGTTCCCTAGTTTGACTTGATGGGAATGAGCTTGTTCTCCTTGTTGTTCTATGTTATTCATTTAGTCTCCTTAGAATCAAGGCAGCTAACAAAACAAATAACAAACACATAAAAATAACAGTCCATACAAACAAGATCAAAATAAAACACACAACATAAAGACAGCACAGAGAATAAAGACATAGTTTGATCTGCCCAAACAGTTTAACCTCCACCAAATGCCATCTTTAAATAAAATGGTTTGATACACCTTGCTGCATGCAGAACATAAAGGCACCGTCCGCACCCGCTCTGGTAGGCCATTTCAAAGGACTGGACCTATTCCAGATGGACAATCCTAAGTGAGGAAATCACAAGGAGAAGGCTGTCTGCAGAATACAGCTGGCACATGGGTGTATACCAGGATACTTGATTAATACGTGTGAGGTCCCTAGCCTCTAAAGATAATAACCAGCATTTGGAATTGGGCTCTGAAGCAAACAGGTACCAGAGCAACTGATGCAGCATGGGGGTTACATGTTCCAGGCAGCTGAGCCCAGACAGCAGACTTGCTGTCACGGTTTGTATCAAATGAAGCTTTGTAGATGTCTTCAAAGGCAGCCCCATGCAGAGTAGTCCAATCTGAATAATCATGGCTAGATTGGCAGAATCTAAGTAAGGATCTGCTTATGAACTAAATGTAAGACACTATGAAAGAAACGTCCCTTGTAACAGGGACATACTAATCATCTTCCAAAGGGAAACTTTCTTTCAGAATGATTTTATTAGCCAGGATGGGCAAGGATCCAGTTTTCAAGAAGGGCCCTCACAAACCTAAGCACTCTGTCAATATCAAATCAGGAAGACCAACCTAAAACTATCTACAAAACTCTGACGTTGCCACCAGTATCGTCAGTACATGAGCTACCCTCAGACTGGCATAAAATACTAATACCTAATTATTTATCAATAACGAAAAAAAAGAAACTAATGTGATGTTACATTGTGTGAACAACACCACAACTGTACAAATCCCTTGCACCTTCTTCAAGTACAGAATTAATCAGCCTTCCATAAAATGAAAAGAACATACTCCTCTGCTTGGATGGAGTCAACTGGGGCCACATAATTACTGGGAATGTAACCAGTTTCTCCTGTAGACAAGGAACGAGCTTCCCACCAGTCTCCTTCCCTGCAAAACAAGAGGAGAGAGCATTAAGAGGAGGCAAAAGTCACCCCTATCATTTAAAATGGTTCATAACTTTCAATCACTTCCCATTATTACAGGTTCATTCTGTAGGCTATTAGTAGTACCCTGTCACCACATGTAGCTCAGGATCATGAATTCTGTCAGTGCAAAGCATGTTCTGCTGATACAAGAGCCTGTTGTATTGATGGAACATATCTTCTGTCCACAGAATGTGTAATGATAAGCAGGGGTCTTGTTGTAGAAAAAGAGCTGCCGGAGCTCATTAGCATAACTCATTAGCATAACTTATTTGCATATGCCACGCCCCCTGACATCACCGGAAGTGACAGAAGGCCACACCCCCTGACATCACCGGAAGTGTGTCAGAAGGCCCGGCTACTTACCCTCCTGCTTCATCCTCATTCCCAAACGGAATGAGGATCGAAGCAGAGGGCGGGGTAAAGAAGGGGGCGGGGCTTCACAACGTGACCGCCCCGCCCCCTAGAGGTTCTCTTCCGGAGCTCCGTACCTGAGAGCTCCCCCCCGACTAGAGCCCTGATGATAAGATACAACAACAATAAAATGCATCTTCTGTGAATTAATAGAAAAGAGGAACTCCGGCAGGGGGATGGGGGGGATGTTCCGGGGGTGGGTGGGGATGCCCCAAGCACTCTCCTGCCTGATATAAAGGGCTTCAGCTGATTGGCAGGAACCACATGACCCACTAACCAGTTGGGAGGCCCTTTAAATCTAGCAGGAGGGAGGGAGAGGGGCGGTTACAGGCCACATGCTTGGCTCGCAAAAAGACCTTTTAAAGGGTTTTTTGCGAATGGGGTGGGGTGGTGACATGTGGGACTGGGGGAAATCAGGCCCACACACTGTGGCCCCCACCTCGCTCACAAAAGACCCTTTAAAGGTCTTTTTCCAAGTTGAACGTGTGGCCTGTGACCATCCCTCTCCCTTCCTCCTGCTAGTTGGCAGACCATGTGGTTCCTACTGATCAGCTGAAGCCCTTTAAATCAGGCAGGAGGGGAGGGGGGCTGAGCAGGTGGTTGCTCTTGAGGCGGGGCTTGAGGTGAGGCTTCCCCTGCTGGCCAGCTGGCTGGGGGTGGATTGAAGCCCCCAGAAGTGGGAAAACCCCTGCCTGGACCTGGGGGCTGGCAAACTTAGAACTCAGCAATGACGCAAACTCTGAAGAGCTGATTCTAAGGGTCAGGGGAGCCTCACATACAAAATGCCCCAAAACATGGACGGCAAGATTTCCTCTGCCTCCCTCTTCTGCCAGTAGAGTCTCTTGAGACAGCAGACACTCCACTGGTTGAAGAGGAAGACTGAGATAATTTTGCTCAATACATCATTACTGGAGCCCATTACAGTTTGTCAGTGAGATATACCTAACCCCCATCATCGGTATCACCCAGGAATTGCTGGAGAAAAGGGAAGGAGAGCACTTTTTAATTGCCTATAGGATCCAATCCATATTGTATAAACATAATAAATGCAATAAAAGATAATGAAAATTCTAGAGTATCTTCCCTTTGACTTAGAAATAAGTGGTAGGAGATAGGAAGCAACACGGCATTAGTGGATGTTCCTAGAGTAATATTTTTGTAGAGTATTAAAGTAGAATGAATGGGAAGACAAATGACAAAGATAATATGATATTAAGCCTTGGGTATTAAAGTTGCTTGGTTCCCTTATCTGTTTGTGCTACCTCCAACTGTTATAAGAAGATAAGATAGCTTGGAATAAGGTAGAAAGTAAGGGAATACCTGAATATAAGGTTATTTTAATTTGTTTGGTTATTGTAGAATTATTAATTGAAAAACTCCAGAGCTCACATTTGGATTTGGAAAAGGAGGAGGGGTTTCTACAGACTCAGCAGAGTTCCGAGGAGAAGCAGGAAAGCCTTCAGGGGAGGGTGTTACAGGATACACCGCCCGTTCCCACAGGAAAAAATGGGGAGCGTTAGCAGACAAGAGTGGCTTTAAAAACTTCCAAAAGCATTCATCGGGACTGGAGCTGATAAAAGGAGAGCTTCGAAAACAAACACACAAGAAAATAATTAAAATGGAGAGGAGAAGACTAAGGCATGGTTTAAGGAAAATAGAATGAATGGGAAGACAAATGACAAAGATAATATGATATTAAGCCTTGGGGGTTTTTTTCACTTGGTTCCTTTATCTGTTTGTGCTACCTCCAACTGTTATAAGAAGATAAGATAGCTTGGAATAAGGTAGAAAGTAAGGGAATACCTGAATATAAGGTTATTTTAATTTGTTTGGTTATTGTTGTAGAATTTAAAGAGAAATAACTGCTTTAGCCATCTGAAAAGGAATTGGCTGTGTAATTGCAGTTGTTTGAAGACAGAAATGTTCAGTGGTTAGAATAAGGGAATGAAAAGACAAACTGGTATTCACTAATATATTTTTAACCATAATGTATGTCAGAATATGTATTCTCAGCTACAATGTTTGTCAGGGGGTGTACGGATGTTAGTATAAAACAATATGAATTGGGTAATGCAAGTAGTCTTAAGATTAAAAAAAATCTTGTAGAAAGAGATTGGAAGATAGAATTGACAGAATGTCAATGTTAATTGATTTTTTTAAAAAAAAAATGAATTGTCACATTTAGTGGTTTAATAATAGATTGGGTGTTGCTTGAAATACACGTCCAGTGGGTAATCATTTCAGTTATGTTAAGAAGGGAAAGAATATCTATTTTGCTATATTTGGCTGGAATGCCGTGTTACAGAGATAAAGCTTTTGTTTTAGTTTTATATATGTATGTTATGTCTTTGTGTGTGTTTGAAAAACCAATAAATATATATTTAAAAAAGCAAACTACAATCAGATGAATTATACAGGAATACATATTTAAAAGAATGGTGTTAAGTTCCATCGGCATCAGACCAAGGGTACCCCTATGGGCTAACCAGCAGGGGTCTCCCTCCCATATTCCCCACTGGCCCGAGCTTCCAATGGTTTACTTTATATACAGTAGTTACCCTAGTCCACCATATATAGCTCTAGGACTTCTGTGCCCCGAGTCCCCTTCCTTACTGCAGTCTAGTCGTGGCTATAAGACTCTCTGGGGGCTGATCTAGCTCTTCCCAACTGCTGCTGTCCCTGTTTGCTCTCCTCGAAGCCTGTGCAGCATGGACTCTCTAGCTGTCATCTCACTGGCCCTGCAGCCTCATCTTCCACTTCCCCCAGCTGTGAGCCCCCTCTTGCCTCTGTACTGGCCCCAGCACCTTCAGCACTTCCCTCAACGGCCACTCCTGACACCTCCAGCCTTGCCAGTCCTGCACCAAAGTGGATGGTTTCGACTGCTTCCTGCTGCCTCTCTGCTCTGCTCTCCCAATGTTGTCTCCCTGGCTGCTGTCATGCCCTTCCTTCCCAAGCTTCCTCCCTGCTTCTCCCACCTACCTTTTAAATCCCATGCACGGCTGAACTCTCTCTACACTCCCACCAGCATCAGCCTGCCACTTCTGGCCTGGCTGTGTTTACTTCTCACCAGGCTGCTGGAGGCCACCAGACAGTGGTTGGGGCTTACAGGGGCAGGCCGTCTGCCACACATGCATACAAAACCATCAGAAATATGCATATGGCTACAGAAAATAATATGGACTGTGGACTATATAAACAGATAAAAGCATATAAGAATGAAGAAATAAAATGTGAGTTTACATCATAGTTCTAAACCAGTCCCCAGTAGGTAGTGGAGACATGAACTATAAATCACTAGGTATTGTACATACACTTGAAACAAAAGGCTGCAAACATGAGAGTGAGCCTTGTTAAGTATGGAACTCAATGCCGTCTCTTAATCAAACAGTGATTCAGCTTTATTGATGTCAGCTAGCTGCCATTTTATGTTGGTTCTGTCCTTCCATTCCCGCTTGCTCGCAGCTCAGCAGCTTTGCGTAAACATTGCCTCGGAGACCGTGGGAGCTGGCTCAGCTAGACGGCGTTATCAGTCTGGCCTTGTAAGGATGGGAGGGCTTGTGGTCCACCACTGGTGTGAATCTTTCTGCTCTCAGGGGCCCTGCGAGTCTCCCACTCATTATGTAACTTTCTGCCAGGAGAATTCCCGCGCACGTGCTCAAAGTTCATTTGCTTAGCTATTTGCCTCGTCTGGCTATATGTACGGATGTTCCTTCCCTATAGTTATTCCTAACAATAATCCTGTGGATATGGTACCGGTTTTGTACTCTAATAAAGCATAACGCTTCTCAGGAAACGTGTGTGAAGAGTTGCTTTAGCCATCTGAAAAGGAATTGGCTGTGTAATTGCAGTTGTTTGAAGACAGAAATGTTCAGTGGTTAGAATAGGGGAATGAAAAGACAAACTGGTATTCACTAATATATATATATATAATATTATATTATATTAAATATTTTATTGGTTTTTTTTGAACATATACATAGGTAAAGGTAAAGGTTCCCTTGCTCGAAAGCTAGTCGAATCCGACTCTAGGGTTGCGGTGCTCATCTCCGTTTCAAAGCCGAAGAGCCAGCACTGTCCGAAGACGTTTCCGTGGTCATGTGGCCGGCATGACTAAACACCGAGGCGCACAGAACGCTGTAGGATTTCATCCATTTCCCCTCTCTTAAGGAGACCCCTCACTTTGGTCTCCATGTCATCCCCTACCCCCAGGAGCAACATTTCAGGGATCTCAGTGGGCTGTACTAGCATGGGAAATTTGTATAATTCTTTGGATCTAACTCACAATAATTTCCCATTTCCCCCCACATTATTGGATTCCTCATAACTGAAAGACCACCTTCTCCCATATTGTCCAGCTCACCAGTTAAGGTCTGCCCCATAAGCTCTGTTCTCTGCATCTCCTCTTTCAGAAGTGTGGTGGGTGGCAATCAGAGACAGGGCCTTTTCAGTAATGGAATACCTTTTCCTTGGAAGCCTGCCTTACACCTACATTGCTTTCTTTTAGGTGCCAGGCCAAAACATTTCTGTCCATCCTGTCTTTTAATTATTTTT